CTAAATAAAATAATTCATGCGCGTTCATATTCCCCGCTGCCGTAAGGTTAACAGTTTTATTCAAATGCTACGCATTTAGCCCTATGTGACGTCTGTTTTTATATTGTTTATCAACAGTATACATTTTTATATTGTTTGGATTAACTAGCCGAGTAGACAGATATGAATGTTTATTAACCATACTGAAAATAAGTAAATATTGTTAGCTGATGCTAACTGTCTAGCTAACAAGCTTGCTGGTGCTAATTTGAGGTAATTTTTAGATATAAAGTCCAAATATTTTTATTCAACCACCTAGATAGATTACATCTGGGGGAAAATAAAGGATGTGATGTTCAGAACATGGTAATTACAGTAATTATCAAAGTGGGAAGTGATGCCCTCTGGGGGCATTTGGCCAGGGGTGTTTTTACACCACAGACAAGGTTTGAGAAGAAAAAAATCATTATGAAAATCTAATTATATTTTCCTTAACATGTTCTTCCTAACTTCAGGCCTTATTCTCATGTCATATATAACTGTGATGTTCTGCAAAACAACAAGCTTTAAAACACTTTTTTCTTACTGGTGAAAATCAGATGGTCAAATCTGTTTTCTCTCAGGTACATCGCAGTGTAAGCTTCACAGTGAACATTACTACATCACTGTACTCTCACTGTACGGACTCTCGTCAACGTAGTCCGTATCAACAACAAAAATATATCTTGACTCCATATAGTGGTTATTTTGGGAAAATCCCAGGTATTTTGAGCAGCAGGATTATAAAAAATATGTGCTAATATAAAATTACATTACGTAGCTGTGCTAATATAAAATTAAATTAAGTAGCCTATATAAAATTGCAAAATAAATCTATCTATCAGTACTTTTTTACTTAAGTACATAAAAAATCGAGTACTTTTGTACTTTCACTCGAGTAAAATTGAAAAAGGAGTACTTTTGCTTTTACTGGAGTAATATTTTATTATATGTATCTGTACTTTTACTCAAGTACTTGATTTCTGTACTTCGTCCACCACTGATAATTTTTGACTGGCACATAACTGAACAAATGTAAACGGGTTAAGGCGGGGCCCCTGGGCTGCAGCCCATTCAAGCCCAATGGTAAGTCCGTCCATGATTGTATGCGATACTATGACCGTATGAGTTAAGAGCACAATGACTGTCTTAATGTCGGCATGAAATGTTTTATTGTATGTTGTGGCCTCCTATGCTCATTTTCTCTTTCTGCTGTGAAGCGTCTAGCTCAGTGGCTGGAGCTGTTGGCATGACCACCTCTGGAGAGAGTGAATCAGATGACTCTGAAATGGGAAGACTGCAAGGTATGTGTGCGGTAGTACTGTTACTCATGTACATACTATGTACTTCTTTTAGTAATTACAATTACTAGGTAACAACTAGGTACTAACCCTGAACCTACCCCTACCCCATGTAGTTACCTTATATCACCAGTACTTTCTTAGGTAGGTACACTAATGGCGCTTTTCCACTGCGTGGTACGACTCGGCTCGGTACGGCTCAGTACGGAGTGACGCAGGTAGTGACGATTCTCTCCGGCCAATCCGTGATCAGCAGAGTTTACACGTCACGTTTTGGTAACGGTACGGTTCGCTTGGAACCCCAACCGAGGTGGTACTAAAAAAAAGTACCAGGTACCAGGTACTGTACCCAGTGGAAAACCCCCAAAAAGTGACCCGTACGGAGCCGTACCGTGCCGTACCATGCAGTGGAAAAGCGCCATTAGTACACTGTAAGTACATGTAAGTTCACGTACTGTAAAATAAAGTGCAAACATGTGTGCTCTACCTGTTATTTCATTCATTTCATTGCAGTGTTTTTTAGAGTTTTTAGTTATTTGTGAAGATAATATAATTGTGTCTTCAGTGATATTGTTATTGTTTTTAGGTTTTTTTTCTTTTAATGAAAATATTCTTTCAGTTTAGTCAATGTCATGTCAATTCATTTTAACCAACGTTACTTTGATTCAAATGGCTTCTAATTTTAGTAGATAAAAATAATGTTTTAGTTGAAGGGAGTATTTAACTGAATATTCAAACATTTTATATTTAACTTTTTTGTTGTTAAAAGTAATTTAGTATCTTTAATCACTTAAATTTATTTAAAAATAATCTTGTGCATAGGATGTGTTTGGGTGCCACAAGAAAAGGACTTGAGTTTATCAGTGTTCATTCATTGTTCAGATTTAGCTCACATCTGTTTGAATGGGTCAATTCTCAACATAAATGACTGTGATTGAGTATTAAAAAAAAAAAATTTTTCAAATTTTTTTCTTCATAAAATACTGGTAGTGCACTGTAAACATGTAGATTTTTTTGTGGAATTATTGTCAAAATGCAAAATTTTTCTACTCATTTTTTTATCATTGACATCAAAGTGAATGAAAATGAAACAGAAACAACTAGTTGTAAGGTTTTATGTTTCCTTTTTTTCTCTCTCTACAGCTCTACTGGAGGCCAGGGGCCTTCCTCCTCACCTGTTTGGCCCATTTGGGCCCCGTATGTCTCAGCTGTTTCATAGGACCATCGGGAGTGGAGCTAGTGAGTGACATTGACTTATGTTTATGTCATTTTTGTGGGATGATTGAGTATTTCCTCTGCTCAACATGTCCGTCTTCTGTCTCTCTCTGCACTTGCAGGCTCAAAGGCACAACAGCTGCTGCAGGGGCTTCAGGCTACAGGAGATGAATCACAGCAGCTCCAGGCTGCTATAGAGATGTGCCAGCTGCTAGTGATGGGTAATGAGGAGACGCTGGGAGGATTCCCTGTCAAGAGCGTCGTACCTGCCCTGGTGAGTACTCTCCCTGCATAAAGAAATTCACCTGGACCTCGTCTGGTTTACACAGTAGTTTATTCTGGCCAAGAACTGCAGTATTAGACAGGAAGGAAAATATTATTCAAATTATCCACAAAATAATAATTTTAGAAAGTAGTTGCAGGGTATTTAAAGTCCTAAGCCTTTTATTTATTCAAATTTAAGGCCATAAATAGTAAAAAAATATTATGCAGAGTTGTGCGTTCAACAGGCTTGCAGTTTTCAGAGCAGTTTGCAATCAATGAACACTGTGCATTTATGCCAAACGATCACTTATGATCTGCTTTTGAAGAATTATGGCAGTGTTTACCTTATGGTGTTTATATCATACCTGCTAATTCTTGGCTTCCCTTCTAATAATGCTTTGTATACAGTGGTTAGAAGTGCCACAGTAGCATTTTCATTCAGCCGTCTGCCCTTTTTGTTTGTGAAAATGTACACAGTGTTAACTATATATTTAAAATGAATATGAATATAATCATTTATAATTGACTCATTCCTTTGGAAGAAAAAAAAAAAAAGGTTTAAAGGCTGAAATATGAGATTATTGATTATAGAGAGATTATAGTCTTTGCAACTTTACAGATCTTCTTTATGCACCAAGAGCTTGTAACACTCTAAAGAGAAAGGACAAAATGAAATCGCATCATATGACCCCTTTAAAAGTTTGGTGAAAACTTGTGTTCTTTGAGCTGTAAAGTTGTTTAAATCGTTGACTTTTTTTTTTCTTTTTTCTTTTCAGTAATTTTACTCTTTAGGATGTTATAGTAGACAGTGCCCTACCCTACCCAAATGGTATTAATTTAATTTGTGCAGGTCTTAAAGCTTAAAAACCCTTACATTTAAAAAACTTGTAGAAACCCTGGGTTGTTCTTGCCTTTCTCTTCTTACCCTCACATCCTACTTTCTTCTTGTCTTCTTTTTGTAGATCACACTATTACAGATGGAGCATAATTTTGATATTGTGAGTATTTCTGTGAGAGTTTCTGTGAGTGGGTGAATGTGTCCGTGCAGAGTCAGAACATTGTGCGAGCCGATCAAGGCCAACTGCAGAGAATCTGTCACCTGGCAATGATTTCAACCATCTATTCAGTCATTCAATTTTGACACTTAAAATTAGAGAATAACGTAATAACTGTTCACCCCATGTGTCCTTTCCTCAGATGAATCATGCATCTCGCGCCCTCACCTACATGATGGAGGCTCTGCCACGCTCCTCGGCTGTGGTGGTAGACGCCATCCCTGTCTTCCTGGAAAAGGTAAATTGCACCTCACCATTCCTTTGAAACCTGGCTGCCAATTATGTGGATGACATAATTAAAGGTGCTATATCAAGGAAAGCAGGTTTTTCTTTTGAAATAATAGTATAAATATAGACATCGAATTTTGCCCCGCTCACTTTTTAACAACTAAGTTGCAAAAACAAGTTACAACATCACAACCACTGTCAGGTATATAACCACTTACATTCACATATTCAGTGTCTGCCATCTTGATGGGAGTCTGACATTTCGTATATGAGGAAGTTCAGTCATGAAAAAGAGGTGTCTTTGTGTATGTTGTCTCAAATCCATGTTTCCCTTGTGTCCACAGCTTCAGGTAATACAGTTTATCGATGTGGCAGAGCAAGCTTTGACTGCCCTGGAGATGTTGTCACGGAGGCACAGCAAAGCCATCTTACAGGCTGTGAGTACTGATGCTTTCTGAGTGTCGTGTTACTTAATTACTAGATCAACCAATATGATAAGACACCAGTCAAACTGAATTAAATTTAATAATCACAAAAAAAAGTTCAAAGCATTAAAATAGAGTAGATGTGTGGACACAGGTGTGCTTTGAATGTGGAATCTGTTCTGTTGACCCCATTTGATTTATTACAGAAAATGACATTCCACTAAGGCTGTGCTGTTTTATTGAAAATGTCTATAGGGAGGTCTGGCTGACTGTTTGCTGTACTTGGAGTTCTTCAGCATCAATGCTCAGAGGAACGCATTAGCCATCGCTGCTAACTGCTGCCAGAGCATCACGACGGACGAGTTTCACTTCGTCGCTGACTCTCTGCCCCTGCTCACTCAGAGACTCACACACCAGGTGATGAGCTGAAACACAGCAGGCGTCTCATTCACATTCACAAGAGCAGATGCACGGCTGTTGTGTCTAGATGTGTAACACAAACATAAACACCCCACAAGGACGTAAGCGATATGTTTGCCGTAGTGTTACTGGTGTGAATCACACCTGTTTGACTTTCAGATGCTGGACTTTGGGTGTAAACAATAAAATCTGTCTACCTCAGGTGTATCAGCATTTTTATTATGACTTTTTTTTTCAGGATAAAAAATCGGTTGAAAGCACTTGTCTCTGTTTTGCCAGGCTGGTGGACAACTTTCAGCATGAGGAGGTGAGAAATGATTACTCGCACACACAAACACGGCAAATCTTATTAACCTTAAACCTGTGTCTGATCAATTTTAGCAAATTTGTTTGTTTAAATGGTTCATTTCAAGGGGAAAATAAGTAAATAAATCACTTAATGAGTTATCACTTACTGTTTCAGGAGTGCAAGTTTGCTGGATTTTTGCTTTTTTACTTTAAAACAGCTTTGTATTGTTACACTGTCAGTCATATATGTATTAAATCAACAGTGTGTACTCTTTCTCTGTTTTACCTGTACACAGATATCTGCTTTTGTTTGTCAGCAAAATGCTTTGCGTCATCCAGTGGACACTGCACAGCTCCAGGGCTTTCGTTAAAACCACAGATTTTGAACATCCACTTTTTTTATATTCCAAAAATGAATTGTGGGGGGTGTTAACAAAACAAAAGTTAACACCAGTTTTTTCTCTGCTTTTTTTTTTTTAGTCGTGTTTAGTCATCTTGCCTGCTGTGAAATTAGCCTTTTTTTCTGCTTTTCATTCTCATTTCTGGCCAGTCATTTAAAGTGCATTTTAGCAGATAATGTTTGTTGTTACATCTCTTTATTATTTATTAGGTAGCCGCAATAATTTAATTTGTGAGTTCAACTGATTCAATTTTAATATTTCATACAAATGGGCAGCATGTAGGTTTTTTCTTTATGTAATTATATAAATTCATATTTCCTCCATAAAGAGTATTTCAGAATTCCGTAGTTAAACACTACAGAATATGTATCTCAGATTTCATATTTATGATTTTTTTTTTTTTTGATTAAGCTGTGTTTTAAATTTGGTGAGAATAGAACACAAATTAAATTAATTCAACAATTTCATTTAAAAATTGCAAATGTCTTGTGAATCACTTCAAACTGATCAGTCAAAACAACTTGTTTGTGCATTGGCTGTCACTACTCTGGTATGCAAAACATTTTTGTGCATTTAGTGTGACCTCATTAACCGCTGCCCTGTGTGTCACTGTGTCACAGAACCTGTTACAGCAAGTGGCGTCACGGGACCTGCTGACCAACATCCAGCAGCTGCTGGTGCTCACTCCACCTGTGCTCAGCTCCGGCATGTTCATCATGGTAGTGCGCATGTTCTCTCTCATGTGCTCCAACTGCCCATGCCTGGCTGTGCAGCTCATGAAACAGAGTAAGTCACTCACATGCACGAATAGGCAGTCCTGTTTTTATTAGGAAATAAATGCCAACAATGAATGTGGTTCTTAAGAGCATTTTGTTTTGTACTTATTCAAGATGAAGATCGATATGTGGCCTGTTTTATGAACTTCAAGTAAATGTATATTGAGTGACTGCGATTTGTGTGTTTGTAGATATAGCAGAGACCCTGCGTTTCCTGCTCTGTGGCGCATCTAATGGGAGCTGTCAAGAGCAGATTGACCTCATTCCCAGAAGCCCCCAGGAGCTTTATGAACTCACCTCACTCATCTGGTATATGAAACCTCTCCTCGATCTGTGTGGTTCTGTCAGTGACATCTGATTAACATGCTCGGAGTAAACGGAGAAATTATTATGAAGCTTAAAGGATTAGTTCACTCCAAAATGAAAATTGTCATCATTGCTGTAATGAGTGTGTTTGATCACTGTGTTTTATCTCTATGCTGTAGTGAGCTGATGCCATGTCTGCCCAGAGAGGGCATCTTTGCGGTTGACGCCATGCTAAAGAAAGGCAGTGCTCAGACCACAGAGGGCGCCATCTGGCAGTGGAGAGATGACAGAGGCCTGTGGCACCCGTACAACCGCATTGACAGCCGCATCATTGAAGTATGTTCAGCGCAGTGCAGATGTAGTTTAACGTGGCATTGAGAAGACCAGTTAATAATTCAGAATCACCATTTGGTCTTAATTGCTCACTTTTTCTTAGACTGCACACCAGAATGGAGAAGACGAGATAAGTCTGTCGACACTCGGCCGTGTCTACACCATCGACTTCAACTCTATGCAGCAGATAAATGAAGACACTGGCACTGCCCGTGCCATTCAGAGAAAACCCAACCCTCTGGCCAACCCCAACACAGGTGCACATGCCACACTTATACTGTATTTAAAGGGTTAGTTCACCCAAAAATGAAAATTCTGTCATTAATTACTCACCCTCATGTCATTTTAAACCCGTAAGACCTTCGTTCATCTTCGGAACACAAATTAAGATATTTTTGATGAATTCTGAGAGCTCTCTGACCCTGTCATAGACAGCAATGTAATTACCACGATCAAGGTCCAGAAACGTAGCAAGGAGATCGTTAAAATAATCCATGTGACGTCAGTGGTTCAACCGTAATTTTACGAAGCTACGAGAATATTTTTTGTACGCAAAGAAAACAAAAATAATGACTATTCAACAATTTGTCTCCTCCACATCACCCTGGTGCCATTTTGGGGAGTATCCACTGAACGTAAACAGCGTATGCTATTCTGTGTCAGCTGCGTCACGCGGATACGTTGTTTTCGTTCAAATCAAAGCGTAAACAACGTAGAAAATCTAAAATATCTTAATTTGTGTTCCGAATATGAGAGATCGTTAAAATAATCCATGTGACGTCAGTGGTTCAACCGTAATTTTACGAAGCTACGAGAATATTTTTTGTACGCAAAGAAAACAAAAATAATGACTATTCAACAATTTGTCTCCTCCACATCACCCTGGTGCCATTTTGGGGAGTATCCACTGAACGTAAACAGCGTATGCTATTCTGTGTCAGCTGCGTCACGCGGATACGTTGTTTTCGTTCAAATCAAAGCGTAAACAACGTAGAAAATCTAAAATATCTTAATTTGTGTTCCGAAGATGAACGAAGGTCTTAGGGGTTTAGAACAACATGAGGGTGAGTAATTAATGACAGAATTTTCATTTTTGGGTGAACTAACCCTTTAATATTCAGTGAAAAATTGAGGGATTTTTCTTCAGATATCAATAACTAAAGTTGGAAAATGTCACAAAGTAATTAACAATAGTTTTAGAAATAAATGTGAATGACAAATGTAAAATAATGCCGCACTTTATTATTTCAGCACTTGTAATTAAGATAAATTAAAATGCATAAAAACACATGGCACTACTGACACTGATGCTATATTATTATTTTTTTAATATGAAATATATAATCTACAAGAAATGCAGAAAGACAAGAAATTGTCTTTTGAAGCAAGAGATTAGATGATCAGAAGCAAGATAAGCTATTAACATTTGTCACATTATCTTGGTGGACATTAACATTATGAAATTGATTAACGAGATCTACTTCACAGCATGTCGTCTTTGGAGTGCATGTTTGTTTGGATCGCCTTCAACTCTAAATATGATCTGCACAATTCAAAAGTTATCTCTTTTTATACAAAATGGCAAATTAAAGGCTTGTTCACACCGGGACGAATATCGCGCGTGCTTATCGCTGACGTTTAACATGACTAAACAAAGGGCGCCAATGTGAGTGTGCAAACCGACGCGCAATACGCAAGGTGTAAAAGCGTCATTTTATTAAAAAACGCCTCGGGCTCGTTTTTTTGGTTTGACGCCGCGTTAAAAACACCGGCCCGACCAATGAGATTGGCGCTTTTGTTCACGTGCCTGGAGTTGCTGAAGTTACGGTAAAACACGACTTGGTGGCGCTCAAGCACAAAACGGTCTTGCCGAGCACACATTGATACCTAACGACGAAGAGGAAGAAAGTTGTCCAAGAACATGCATCGAGGCAAGATGAATGTAGAGCTGCTGGTCTCATTGGTGTCTGAACACAAAGTTCATGCGCATGCTTTCTCCCCCGAACGTAAACAACGCTGATTACGTCGATTACGCTCTTGGGTACTCTCCAAAATGGCGGAAAACGTAACTCGGGGGAGAAGAATTGTTAATAAATTGTTATTTTTGTTTTCATTGTGCTCAAAAAGTATTCTCGTAGCTTCGCAAAAGTGAAGTTGAGCCACTGATGTCAAATGGACTGTTTTACCGTTGTTCTTACTACGTTTCTGGACCTGGGAAGTGGGAACAAAAATATCTTAATTTGTGTTCCGAAGATGAACGAAGGTCTTATGGGTTTGGAACGACATGAAGGTGAGTAATTAATGACAGAATTTTCATTTTATGGTGAACTAACCCTTTAAAGTTCTAATTGATATTTGTTGTGTCTTGTGTGACTGACCATATGATGCATATTGCACAATTACTTGTAAATATTATTGTTTTTTTCTTTGTTTTTTTTTGCCATAATGGTTTTCATAGAAACCCTCAAAATGAAATGTAAAAAAGACAAACTGTGCTTGCTTAGTAACTTGATTGTTCTTTGCCACAATAAGCTGTAATGTGGACCAGACTATTGTTCAGATGTGCACTATTTGTGCTATGGACATGAATGATACTTCATATCATGAGGCAAATTGAGCAGACTTGTGTTGTTTCTTCTATAGGTGTTCAGACTTAATGGTTTTCCATTTGTAGGTGATAAAACAGATAGGATAAAATCCAATAGAATATAACTTTATAACTGGGTATTTATATAAATCACGCAAGGTGATTTACTAAGGTTTGTGGTAGTCAATTTACTGTTTTTGCGCCATAATTTAACGTCCAAGAAGCATGTCTTAACCCATTTTGTGTCTGTGTTGTTAGTAGATCACATGCTCCTGATTATCATCGGCTCAGCTTGTTTGTGACCCTACATTAATTTGCGCTGCTCTTTTGGCCATTACAGAAATTATCTGTGTCTTTTAATATGTGCATTGTCAGTAGAACTTCTGTCAGTAGAAGTTCTGCAGAACTTTCCACTCCCATCAGGGCATTTTTGGGATTGCGCTCACGCTAATTTAACCTGTTTAGTAAATCTCACACTAAATCTTATAAACTGGTACTGAATAAAAAGAAAAAAGTGAGGAGAAAGGAGAAAACTCTAAACTGGTACTAAAACTTAAACAGGATGGTAATAACAGAATGCCAATCATGCGTTATTTTCTGTGTCCATATATGCAGTGGTCACTAAGGAAGGAGTGTACATCTTGGATATGGCAGCCAAAATTGATGCTACTGCAGACTATATCTGCAAGCCCAAGTGGGGTGATGTGGAGTTTCCTCCTCCATTTGGCAGAGAAGCTTATCCTGAGGTACAAGTGGACAAACATCATGCCATTGCACACAAATACCAGAGAGCAGGTGTTCTCTGGCTCAGATTTGCTTTGTTGCTGTTTTGTGTACAGGAAGCATACATAGCAGATCTTGATGCTAAGAGTGGCGCCAGTCTGAAACTCACCCTGCTGAATCCCAGAGGACGCATCTGGACCATGGTGGCCGGCGGCGGTGCATCAGTGGTGTACAGGTTGTGCTACCAACATCTTGGCCCTCAGTTAGATATTAGATAAACCAAGGGCATAAATATGGGTATGGATCAGCTGTGGCTCGTCTGTAGAGCCAACTGGGGCAAAGGCTTGCCAAAATATTAATCCACTAGAAAACATAGACCTCGATATAAACTGAATCAATCCTAATTTATGAACTCTTAAGGCTTGTTCACACCGGGACGAATATCGCGCGCGATTATCGCCGACGTTTAACGCCTCGTGACTAAACAAAGGGCGCCAATGTGATTGTGCACACCGACGCGCAAAACGCGAGGCGTAAAAGTGTAATTTTTTTTTTAAAACACCTCTGGCTCGTTTTTTTTGGTTTGCCGCACCGCGTTAAAAACTGGCCGACCAATGAGATTGGCGCTTTTGTTCACGTGCCTGGAGCTGCTGAAGTTACAGTAAAACACGACTTGGTGGCGCTCAAGCACAAAACAGTCTTTCCGAGCACACTACATTGATACCTAACGACGAAGAGGAAGTAAGTAGACCAAGAAGATGCATCGAGGCAAGATGAATGTAGAGCTGCTGGTCTCATTGGTGTCTGAACACAAAGGGCTTTATGACAAACGCGACAGCGACTACAAAAATCTCGATAAGAGGGAGTTGTTATGGAGAGGAATTGCAGATCAAATAGGATTCGATGTGTACCGGGGGCATTTCTGTTTTTCATTAAGCGCCATCTAATGTCAGGGAGTGAATTTGCATGTTCACACGGCTCATCGGCAGCAAAAATCGCTTGGGTATGAACACAAAAGACGTGTCGAAAAACGCCGGCGATAAGCACGCGTGATAATCGTCCCGGTGTGTATGAGTCTTAAGGCAAAAATTATGTACCTATCCTTGACTTTGTAACTTGTAAATCTTAACATTGAAACTGATGTTATTCTCTTATATTGTCGGCAAACATGCAGTACTCCAAGGCCAAAGTTTGTGAAAGACTTGGAAGTGTAGATAAGTAAAACCATTCATAGTAATCAAATAATTCTGGTGTAATGGAAGAAAAAAAGTCCACAAAGCAACTATCTGCGCCATTTAATCAGCAAATATGATATATTGGGCAGCCTCTACTGTCAAATAATTATGACCAGTGTGAAAACAAACACACTTACAATGGAATCAATAAACAGGGAATCTAATTTTATTTCCATAAATGGGGCACATTATCAAATTATAAAGATATTTAGCAAGAATAAAATGTTTTAAAATAATAAATTGTGTAAAACCGTGTCTGTCTTCACAGGAGGGCACTTGGAGGTGCGGCGAGAAGACGCACGCGCTCAGCTGATGAAAGAGGACCCTGAGCTGGCCAAGTGCTTCATAAAGACTCTGTTTGGGGTTCTGTATGAGGTGTACAGCTCCTCAGCTGGGCCTGCCGTCAGACACAAGTGCCTTAGAGCCATCCTCCGGATCATCTACTTCGCAGATGCAGAGCTGCTTAAAGACGTACTGCGCAACCATGCTGTGTCTAGGTCAGTCTGTGAATGCAGAGCTCTGTGTGAATGCAGGAAGATGTTAATTATCATCACACCACTGTCCTGGTGTTCGTTTGTGCACCTATTTCCATTTCACGATATAATTGTCTTCCATTTCAGTTTTACATGAAAGTGAAGATACATGGCTTATGCAAAGCTTGTTAGAGTATTTGTTTGGTTTTACTAATCCTGAACTTTTTGTCTGTAGCCACATTGCTTCCATGCTGTCCAGTCAGGACCTGAAGATTGTAGTGGGCTCTCTGCAGATGGCTGAGATCCTCATGCAGAAGCTTCCAGATGTGTTCAGTGTTTATTTCAGGCGGGAAGGTACTGGATCTGGTTTTTATGTTAGCTTCACACCAAACCTCTGCAGAAGTTACTTCAAAGAATCAAATCTCACTAGCTGTGGCAAGATTACTGAAAAACAAAAAGTTGTCTCCAACATTACATCATCCCCTGCAAAAACATATATTTGATTACAGTAATGCATTACACCCAACACTGCTGTTTTATCGCTCTTGTTCTGTTTAGGTGTTATGCACCAGGTAAAGAACCTCGCTGAATCCGAGGTGTTCCTCACCAGCCCTCCGAAAGCGTGCACCAGCGGGACAGCTAGTCTTTGCACCACCACCATCACCACAGCAACCACTACAGCAGCTTCTAACGTCACATCCGACTTAGGCTCGCCCAGTTTCCAACACAGCATGGACGACTCGCTGGACCTCAGTCCGCAGGGGTATAGAGCCACTCTCACACGCACCGTTACTGATCTAGAGTTTGCAGACTTGGCAACTAATGTCTTGCCATTTAAAGTTTGAACCCTCTGTTCTCTAGTAGGTTGAGTGATGTTCTGAAAAGAAAGCGCCTTCCTAAAAGAGGACCAAGGCGTCCCAAGTACTCCCCACCCAGAGACGATGACAAAGTGGATAATCAGGGTACGTAGTCCTTGTGTTGAGAATTACAGTGGTGCCAAAAGTACTTGATGTCTTATTTAATACAAAGACATTCATTCAGTTTTCAATGCTTTGTAGGTTCAACTGCTTTTTTTGGTGTCATGTTTTATTAGACCATTGCGCATGCTTTATTACACTTGTGACTGTTGTAAATGCTTTATTACCTTACTCTGCGTATCTCCTCCACAGCTAAGAGTCCTACAACCACACAGTCCCCCAAGTCCTCTTTCCTGGCCAGTTTGAATCCCAAGACCTGGGGTAAGCTGGGGACTCAGACAAACAGCTCCAACTCAGAGCCCTCGCGCACTGCAGGGGTCAGTGGTCTGGCACGAGTGCCGCCCAAGGACTCTGTTTCAAACAACAGGTAAAGCTACGTCTTTATTTGTGTTCTGATTTTTTTTATAATGTAATTAGGTTGTCACTGTCATTCTTCAGACTCTTAGTTATAATTCGAGGTTGCAAAATACAAGTTCTTTTGATATCCATAGTTAATTTTTTGGACATTATTTATTTTGGAATAGGGATAAGATAAAGGCTTGGATAAAAGAACAAGCCAGCAAGTTTGTGGAGTGTTACTTTAATTCTGAGAGCTTGAATGGAAGCAACCCTGCACTGAACGTCCTGCAAAGACTCTGTACTGCCACAGAACAACTGAACCTGCAGGTAACCCCAGACACAAAGTTAGCATTTGTAGCCGTTATAAAGCAGTTATTATGCTGATTCTATCATGCTGCCTAATTTAAATGTTTTACCACAGAAGCAATAAGCATGTTATGAAGCACTTTATGATGCTGTTTATCACTTTTTAATGTGTACGGTTTAGAAAGAAAACCAGATTTGAGTTTTTGTTGTCCAGTGGAATGTATTCTTTCTCTCAAACTGTGTTTTTATGCATGTTTCAGGTTGACAGTGGTGTAGAGTGTCTAGAGGAGATAAGCAGTATTGTATCTGAATCAGACGTGTCCTCCTTTGAGATCCAGCACAGTGGGCTTGTGAAGCAGCTGTTGTTGTATTTGACATCAAACAGTGAACGGGACACTATCAGTAGAGACGAGAGAATCAAGAGGTTCCTGCATGTGTTCTTTGGCTGCCCGGTTAGTGACACTTGAAAAAACACATACAGCTTCCTGTCCCTCACAATGCTGATTTTCCTGCTTTTTCTCCAAATACTATCAATTACTTTTAGCTGAGCTATTGGCACAGCCTACCCCAAAGCATCTCTGACACTGAAATTTATAGGAATATGTATGTATGTTATATAGAGACAGCAAGGCAACTCACTTGGTTTTGTAACAGTGTTACACTTTTCCCTTAGCACTGAATGTATTTGACACGTTAATTGGGCTGTTTGTTTGTAGTAGTTACTGGTGTGATCAGTGTGACTCGTTGTTTGTTATATGTGATTCAGATACCAGGGCAGGAACCTCTGGGACGTTTGGACCCAACAGAGAATGGCCCACTGCTGGCATTGGTGCACAAGATGAACAACTGCCTTAGTCAGATGGAACAGTTTCCTGTTAAAGTGCATGATTTTCCCAGTGGGAACGGCAATGGAAGCAGGTAATTCCCTCTGTACTCTCTTCTTTAATGTTCTTGTTGTAAATACATCCATTTATCTTTCTTTCATATTCTACTTTTTTTTTTATTATAATGGATTCAAACCAAAAGCTATGATTATATGTAACCTTGGACCACAAAACCAGTTTAAAAGGGTCAATGTTTTGAAATTGAGATTTATACATCATCTGAAAGCTGAATAAATAAGCTTTCCATTGATGTATGGTTTATGATAGGACAATATTTGGCTGAGATACAACTACAGTAGTCAACATTTGAAGTGGATAAAAAAAAGTTCATCAGTTGTCCTAAGACAAGAATGCATTTTGGTTTTAGGACAACTTTGATGATGAAAGGTTTTGATCCACTTCAAATATTGACTTGTGTATTTGAAAATCTGGAATCTGAGGGTGCAAAAAATAAAAATATTGAGAAAATTGCCTTTAAAGTTGTCCAAATTAAGTTCTTAGCAATGTAAATTACTAGGGGTGTCCCCGACAAAGGATTTTCATAGTCGAATCGGAATTTTCGAATCTTGCCGATAGTTGACTGATAGTCGAATCATATGTTTGGGGGCGGGGCAAAATACATTACCAAGAGTCAAGTCAAACATTCGACAGTCATAATTACTGACGTTAACGGACGCCTCGCAGATACAAACGGGGTAAATAATGTTTTATGTTTTGATTAAAGTATAGTTAACATTAAACGTCAGCGAAACCCTACGAATTCACAACATTTTTTACAACAGTGCTCTCATTATAACGTTCTGTATATGACAGTAGTTATTAATGTTCTGCATTTCTGTTTTGAGCTGCGCGCGCTGAAGATCACCAGTGGAGTGAAGCATCTGATAGCAGGTTTTAAATAAATGGGATTTAACTGATCATTTATCTCATATATAATAAGCTACGTTATTTATACAACATTACGCTAATATTACGACTTACAGGCTACCTGCACAAAATCCCCCGAATGCAGAAGTGAACGTTTCTGCACGGCTCTGAATGAACTCCTTTTGTGGACGCGTTCTTCGCGTAACAACGTGCAGAAATGCGGCAACTAAACTCTAAAAATTCACAGCTTTTTATTATAATAGTGTTCTCATTATGTATATGACAGTCCCAGTCATAGTTATTAATATTCTGCATTGTTGTTTGTCCTGCTTGCGCTGCGTGCTGAAGAGATAATCACCGTAGTTCTACAATGAAGTGCTTTACTGCAGCGTAACTCAACCAAATGCATCTTATATGAGATAAATAATATATACATGTTATATATAAACCGGCTGAAATGTTTTGAAATCACTTGTACCCTACGTGATCGAAAAAATCCAGTCTCTCACTCTGCATGTGTCAGTTTGTGTCTTGTTAAAGATTTAAATTCCTGCCGCCAAGATGCTTCTCTGTCGGTCACGGGTTATGGAAAGTCAAACTTAAATCTATAGGGTTGGTTGGATTTATTCATGCACGTTAAAATATTTATTTAAAGCTTCTTTCTTTTCAGATTCATTAACAGCAATATCTTAATAGGCTGTATATTAACTTATTGGGAGAAAACCGGTAGTTCTATGTGAAATAGGGCTGTCAAAATGACTGAAAAACTAAATTCGAATTTTCTACTTAAATATTATCAAAATTCGAATTATATTCGAATTTAAAAGGCATAATTTCAGTTGGGGGAAAAAAGATTTTGGCATCTATCCTGAGGCCACAAGAGGGCACATCGAGCAAAATAGTATGCACATTTCTTCAAAGCGTAATAAAATAACACGACTATCTTTGAAAAGTGTATAATGTTTCAAATAATGTTTATAAACCATATATAATTAATAAAGTTGCTTAAACAATTAGAAAAAAAAACAGCACCATGCATGTATAGTTTAATACAAAGGACCGAAAACCAATCACAAAGAGTAGGCTACTTTCTTCATTTAAAAACATGAGATACAGTGAGATGGGGAAAAACCGCCATAACGTCTTTGACGTTTTTTAAAAGTTGAACTTGCATTAATTTTACATGGCTTTCTAAACATGCCGCTCTCTGCGAGATGCGAGTGCAACGCTGATAGATGTCCCTCTAGAAAATGTGATAAATATGCTTTCTGTGTGAACGGCTTGGTTTCAGTTTTGACGTAAACAACATCTTCTCCACACTGATGCTCTCGTTTTCCGCAATATATGAATGAACAACGTAGCAGCGCCGCATCTAGTGGGTTCAACTGGATAGGCTAACAAAAGCATTAAAATCAATCAATGACACATACATCGTCATCGCATCTCGTGCGCCACTGATAAGGCTGCCTGACGGCTGATGCAGACCTTAAATTCGAATGCTACGTTTTTGCATTCGAATGTGTATTTTTTTTTTTTTTTTATGCGACGAATATTCGAAATTCTAATTTTTTTTTTGACAGCCCTAATGTGAAATCAGACATTTGAGCAGCCCCATATATAGCCAAAATGGCATGATCATAACACCTTTGCGAATATTCGACTGTGAGATTGGTAGTCGAATCAGGCTCCTGCTATCGAAGCATCGAATCGTCGACTATTTGGGGTCACACCTATAGATTACTAATCAAAAATTAAGTTTTGATATTTATGGTAGGAAATTTACAAAATATCTTCATGGAACATGATCTTTACTTTATATCCTAATGATTTTTGGCATAAAAGAAAAATCGATAATTTTGACCCATACGTTCGCTATTGCTACAAATACACCCCTGCTACTTATGACTGGTTTTGTAGTCCAGGGTCACATATAACAAATTAATGAGTCTGACTTTGATGGAAAAAATGCTGCTTTAAAGCAATTTAAAACATAAGTTTAAAATTGTAATACAAACTTGATGTATTTTTTATGGATGCAAACAAAAGATTTAATATGGTAACAATCTACATGTTTTTATATATTTTTATCTCATGCTGATTGTTATTCTTTTGTTTGCAGGGGTTCACAAGCCCTTAAGTTCTTCAACACACATCAGCTGAAGTGCCAGCTGCAAAGACACCCAGACTGCACCAATGTAAAGCAGTGGAAGGGTGGGCCAGTCAAAATTGACCCCTTGGCCCTGGTACAGGCTATTGAGAGATACCTTGTGGTTAGAGGTAAACACACAAGAATCTGAAAATGATGTTCTCAGTTCTCTGGTTTCTGAGTTCTCAGATGAGATGGTTGACTTTTGCGGTCTCAACAGGGTATGGAAGGATCAGGGAGGAGGATGAAGACAGTGATGATGATGGTTCTGATGATGAGATTGATGAATCTTTGGTATGGATGATTGTTTTCATGATAATATTTACTTAGTAACTGTGATCAAAATGGCATACTGTGTGTAGTAGTATGCACTTTTTTTTAATACTGTGGACTACCGTTTCCCAAAGGCTGCCCAGTTCTTGAATTCTGGGAGTGTACGTCACAGGCTGCAGTTCTACATAGGAGAGCACCTGCTGCCGTACAACATGACTGTTTATCAGGCTGTCAGGCAGTTCAGCTTGCAGGCTGAGGAGGAGCGAGAGAGCACAGATGATGAAGCAAATCCTCTGGGACGGGCTGGCATCTGGACCAAAACACACACTATATGGTACACAACTTGCACGCCATTTTCTCACTCTGCACAATCACTAATGTTTGCCTTTTCCATGAATGTGATACAAGTCTGCAACCCTATTATTTGAACTATTTTGTATTCATAGTGCGTGTTAATATATATTTGTTACAGGTATAAGCCAGTCAGAGAGGATGAAGAGGGCTGTAAAGACGCTGTCGGAGGGAAGAGGGGTCGCGCACAGACGGCTCCCACTAAAACCTCCCCTCGAAATGCCAAGAAACAGGACGAACTGTGGCATGGTAGGGGAATATCATGTGCATTTGTGTACTGATAACCTATAAAAGCTGTATAGGAGTTTAATAAGGGACTGCCTTGGAATCCATCTTTATTCAGACTATATTTGTTTTTTGTGTTTTCAGAGGGTGTGTGTCCCAGTGTGACAAACCCATTAGAGTCATACCTCATTAGTGATCCTCCAGAGGGCATCACTTTTGATGATCCTTCAATGGAGGTGATTCTGCTGCTGAGGGTCCTGCACTCCATCAGTAGATACTGGTTCTACCTGTACGATGTGAGTACCATATTCAAGAACACTTGCATTCATACAAAAAGCACAGGTACAATAACAGAACCTCTATCAAGAATGTATGCTTAATTATGATAATTAAAAACATGGATGGTTCTAAAATAGACTTCATTTTCTTTTTTCCTCTTTGATTTTGGTGTGAAATGTGACCTGGGGCCTGTTCCATAAAACAGGCTTATACCAAATAAGCCAGGCTTATTTCAGTTAGTCTGACTTATTTTGAACCAAGGGCCAGTTGCATAAACTTAGCCACCATGTTAAGACTGTGTCTTAAGAACTAGTTTGACCAACTAGCAGTGGCCAAGGGGGTAATCAGTCTTACTTTTCCAATACAAATAAGACCAATCTTCCTTTTCATAATTTATAATTCATGAATTATAAAAGTTATGACCAGTCTTGAAGAAAAACAATTAGATGACTAACTTTTTAAGACTAATCTAAACAAACTAATGCAACCTGCCCCTGGCTTATTTGGTAAACTTGTTTTATGAAACAGGCCCTTGACCGCGATCGCGCCATGCAGCGCCTGCTCGACACCAACCCAGAGATTAACCAGTCTGACTCGCAAGACAGCCGTGTCGCTCCACGCCTTGACAGGAAGAAGGTTGCCCTAAAATTCCTGTTTAAGCATTTGCATGCTGTAATTGCTTAATATATGCCATAGCAGAGGTATGTATTCACAAACAACTTTCTAACATTCTCTTATTCGTTGTTTTGTATGTATAGAGAACGATAAACCGTGATGAGCTCCTGAAGCAAGCAGAGTCAGTAATGCAAGACCTCGGGAGTTCCAGAGCTATGCTGGAAATTCAATACGAGAACGAGGTATGCATGACTGACGATTAGGCCGGAAACATAATCTACACAAATTCTTGGCCAGTGCATTTCAACCGTGTCGTTTGTGTTCTTGCGTTACTGTGTTACAGTAACAAACAGGAGGCCCTGAGGATGTGGTGGTGTTCTGGTAGCTCGCTATAAACATACTGACTGTTTGCCACCACTGTTATTTCACTAGCCCATGGAGTCTGTGTATTTCAGCCAGTGCAATTTTAAACAAGTCTATCTGTTTCTGCTCAGAGTCCACTTTTCTGTCAGTCTTGTTTGATTTATGCCTGACTTCTCTCTGTCTCAGGTGGGAACAGGCCTCGGACCTACGCAAGAGTTCTATGCTCTGGTGTCTCAGGAGTTGCAGAGGGCCGATTTGGGTCTTTGGAGAGGAGAGGAAGTCACTCTCTCCAACCCTAAAGGTAACTGTCATAATATTTGTCAATTTTGAGCACTGTTTCCAGTGTAACGCAAATAGCATTATACTGATGTTAATGCAACCTGCCCCTGGCTTATTTGGTAAACTTGTTTTATGAAACAGGCCCCTGGACATATTTCAGCGAGATTCACCCAATAATAAAGCAATCAAATAGAGTAGACTTTACATTCATCTGTCTCTTTTCCCCAGAATGCTGCATGTAAAGAGATCATTCCCACTGGTGAGTTTATTAACAGTAAACTGACAGCAAAGGCCAACAGACAGTTGCAGGATCCGCTGGTCATCATGACAGGGAACATCCCCACCTGGCTCACTGAGCTCGGCAAGACCAGGTACTGCAAACTCTTCATCTCATTCGTCTTAAATCTGTACTTTTTTACACCTCTAATCTTCTCTCTTCTAGTCCATTCTTTTTCCCGTTTGACACGCGGCAGATGCTCTTCTACGTGACGGCGTTTGACCGCGATCGCGCCATGCAGCGCCTGCTCGACACCAACCCAGAGATTAACCAGTCTGACTCGCAAGACAGCCGTGTCGCTCCACGCCTTGACAGGAAGAAGGTTGCCCTAAAATTCCTGTTTAAGCATTTGCATGCTGTAATTGCTTAATATATGCCATAGCAGAGGTATGTATTCACAAACAACTTTCTAACATTCTCTTATTCGTTGTTTTGTATGTATAGAGAACGATAAACCGTGATGAGCTCCTGAAGCAAGCAGAGTCAGTAATGCAAGACCTCGGGAGTTCCAGAGCTATGCTGGAAATTCAATACGAGAACGAGGTATGCATGACTGACGATTAGGCCGGAAACATAATCTACACAAATTCTTGGCCAGTGCATTTCAACCGTGTCGTTTGTGTTCTTGCGTTACTGTGTTACAGTAACAAACAGGAGGCCCTGAGGATGTGGTGGTGTTCTGGTAGCTCGCTATAAACATACTGACTGTTTGCCACCACTGTTATTTCACTAGCCCATGGAGTCTGTGTATTTCAGCCAGTGCAATTTTAAACAAGTCTATCTGTTTCTGCTCAGAGTCCACTTTTCTGTCAGTCTTGTTTGATTTATGCCTGACTTCTCTCTGTCTCAGGTGGGAACAGGCCTCGGACCTACGCAAGAGTTCTATGCTCTGGTGTCTCAGGAGTTGCAGAGGGCCGATTTGGGTCTTTGGAGAGGAGAGGAAGTCACTCTCTCCAACCCTAAAGGTAACTGTCATAATATTTGTCAATTTTGAGCACTGTTTCCAGTGTAACGCAAATAGCATTATACTGATGTTCACTAAGCTTGTTTCGTCTGTCTGTCTCTCTCTCTCTCTCTCTCACACACACTCTGTCTGTCTCTGAGCAGGAAGGCAGGAGGGTACCAAGTATATGTTCAGTTCCAGAGGGTTGTTTGCTGTACCGTTTGGACGAACTACCAAACCAGCTCACATCGCCAAGATCAAAATGAAGTTCCGTTTTCTTGGAAAACTGATGGCTAAAGCGATCATGGACTTCAGATTGGTACGTTTACTCATGACAAAATGACTTGAATACATAAAAAAAAAAAAAAAAACTAAAACTAAAAAAATATTTTTCTTTCAAGAATTTCAATTAGGGGTGATGCAATATACTGGAATCAACGACAGCCATACTAAAAAAAATGAAATCTTGATATGTGAAAACTACACAAGTTCTAGTAACAATCTGCTTGACACTCCAACATAGTAGATGGCAGTATTGCACCTTAATGCTGGTTGCCACCCATCATAAAACAGACAAAAATGATCCATACCATCTTTTTGTATGCTTTTGTGCAGTTATGGTTACTAACTCACTCTCTGCTTTCCTACACTCGTATTTAAAGTGTGATAAAATGTAAAGATGAATTTGAGTGACATTGTTTTTCCAAACTTCTATAGATATAGCAATAATATTATTGTGTAGTCTTTTGGCCATGTTCATCATGCAGTGAAAATATGACACCATGACACCTTCCTCTTCTGCTGGTAAAATAGTCATATGATAACTAATATCATCACTGCAACACACAAACACACACGCAGCATTAGCTGGTTTTGGTTTGCACAGGACGCTCTCTGGCAGTTTTTTGGAATGAAGCTCAGTTTGTTTGTTTTTCCCAATCATTTAATACCTCCAGACACAAATATATCATGAGAATATCATGTCATTGAATCTTGTTAATTGAGGTGTGGTTTTTTTTGTCTCTAGTTGGACTTGCCTCTTGGTTTTCCATTCTATAAGTGGATGCTGAGGCACGAGTCCTCTGTCAGCTCTCATGACCTGGTCAACATTGATCCTGGCGTCGCCAAATCCATCCAGCACCTGGAGGACATCATCCGCCAGAAGAAGAGAATAGAGCAGGACCGATCACATGTGAGTACTGGCCGCTAACTACATAACACATGGCGACCTGAAACATTCAAAACCAACCAACACCTGAACTGTTTTTTTGTATTGTAACTGTTTGTATTTGTCAGACACGGGAGACCGTACAGCAGGCCTTGGAGAGTCTCAACATGAACGGCTGCTCGGTGGAAGATCTGGGCCTGGACTTCACTCTGCCTGGATTCCCAAACATCGAGTTGAAGAAAGGGGGCAAAGACGTGCCAGTCACCATTCACAACCTGGAGGAATACCTCAGAGTAGGGGACTGAATAACCTGACACATGTCATCATTTGTATAGCCTGAATAAACCGCTCTTACTTCACCGCCTCTTGTTCCGTCTGTCTGTAGTTGGTGGTCTACTGGACACTCAATGAGGGCGTCTCTCGGCAGTTTGAGTCGTTTAGGGAAGGATTTGAGTCTGTCTTCCCTCTGCATCACCTGCAGTACTTCTATCCTGAAGAGGTGAGCGCTTTCAACAGTTTAGTCATTCAGTTTTAAAGACCAAGCACTGAAGGTGCCACAATGGTGTGCCAAAGGTGTCATGAATGGAGAATTCAAACTTTACCTAATCTTTTTACACATAAGTAGACATTGTTTTGATATGTAAGAACTGTGTACAGTTAGACAGTCTTTGTCACAAAACCATAGGGCTGGGTATCGTTCAAAAATTTACCGATACCGATACCTTGACTTCGATACCGGTTCCTGAACAGTACTTTTTTCGATACCAATTTTATGAAATCAATTTTAACAATATTACATTATCTACAAAAAAAAACTTGGCTCACTGACGCTGATGAGATTAACCCCTTAGGTATCGAAATTTGGTACCGAACAACGAGACGTTTTTCGATACTCGATGGTATCGAGGCTATTCGGTCGGTGCCTAAAAAGTATTTAACGCGATACCCAGCCCTACAAAACCATTAATTGCCATTTATGCGTTTGTAACTCAAGCCAGTGACTAAACTGTCAACTTCTTAGTATCAATAAAATATGCAATTAATCAAATTCTGATTTAATTATATACAGAAAGTAGTGCTGGGCGGTATGACCAAAAATGTATATCACGGTATTTTTCTAAATTATACCGGTTTAACGGTACATGACGGTATTTTTTTTTCATGCATGACCGGGTGTTAACCATATTTTGGTTCCTGTTTGAGGTGCTGAGCAGTTTTGATGCAGAGCAGCAGAGACTTTTCCTGCAGTTTGTCACAGGCAGCCCCAGACTTCCTGTCGGAGGTGAGGAACCATTTCAATCCACAGAGCATCAGCCGTCAGGGAGATATTTTCAGATAACGTGGCCTCCATCTTTGTTTTCTTCTCAGGATTCCGGAGTTTAAACCCTCCCCTCACCATCGTTCGGAAGACGTTCGAGTCGACGGAGAACCCGGACGACTTCCTTCCGTCAGTGATGACGTGTGTGAACTACCTGAAACTGCCGGATTACTCCAGCATCGAGATCATGCGCGAGAAACTGTTGATTGCTGCGCGCGAGGGCCAGCAGTCTTTCCATCTGTCTTGATCTCACCCTCCTGCACCCTCTCACTCAAAATGGCCTTTAATCAACTCACTGCAGAACCACACAAATCGTGACTTCTTCCTTTAGAGTTCCTCTTCCTCTTTCATTTTTTCCTGCCCTTTTTCTTTTCTTTCCTTTTTTTTTTTTTTTTTTTAAACAATCCTCTTTGAAATTTTGAAGTACATTTTGTTTATTGTATTTATTTATTTATTTTTCTATTTTGAATATAATAAAATTGTGGATCTTTTACTTGAGTTGAATAAAAATTAAGTATTCAACTTCACTACATTTATTTTTCATCACAAGTAAAAAAAAAAATAAAAAAAAAAGAGAAGAAAACATTTTTTTTAAAAAATGAAACTTCAGAGCAGATCATAAAATATATCCGTAGTTGATAGATGTTCAAGCCGAAAAAAAGAGGAGAAAATCTGGGTGACGTTTTAAAACTTGCGTTGCTGTCTGATGTATCAAGAAAAAAAGGGATGTTTTTTTTTTTTCTCTCCTGGTGAATGACATCTTCACTGTGTGTTCCTGTTAGGGAGGGGGCATCCATTAAGCCAGCGAGGGTTCCTATAGCTCCAAAGATCATTTGTACAGACATTTGCAGATTTTGCTTATTCGACACATTTGATAGAATAGCTGTGTGCTCTCCTGCCCAGTTTCCCCTCTGTTCTGTATTATAACCCCGAACGTCTTGTTACATTTTGGTTCCACTTTAATTTCTCTTGTGTCTTTTTATTTGAGAGAATTTTGAACGTGTAAGAGAGTTCCAGTTGGTTGAATGCGGGTAGTGTTGGAAGTGTAGTATCTTTATTATATTATTATTATAATTATTATTATTATTTTGGTTTGTTTTTTGTTTTTTTAACCCGTTGAAATTGTTTTCTGGCCGACATTTCACATAAAGTGTCAGCTCCATGTTGAAAAGATGTATCCATTGTGTTGGATGAATAGACTCCTATATGGACCACAGCTCTTTTTTTTAAGGAAGATTAATATGTTCAAACATCAGTACACAGTAAGTGGTGTTTTTATTATTATTATTATTATTATTATTATTATTTGTTTTTGTTTTTTTTAACCCAAGTTGAAATTGTTTTCTGGCCGACATTTCTCATAAAGTGTCAGCTCCCATGTTGAAAAGATGTATCCATTGTGTTGGATGAATAGACTCCTATATGGTTATAGTAGTGTGCCTCTGCTGGACTTCTGGGGACTTGAGGTCTTAATGATGGGCCTGCTGAAGTTGCTTGGCTGGTGAAGCCGGGCTTTATTCCCGTAATGTAGCTGAGCACAAGAAATTCATTTAAAAGAATTGGCTGGTCTTATTTTATGGTTTCATGGCCAGATAGCATTTCAGAAAAAAAAAAAAAAAAAAAGTTCATTAAATAAAATAAAGTTTATATGCAGTTTTCACACCCGGTTTGAGGTGGGATTGTCTGCTTTTTTGTTTAATTTTCTATTGTTTCTTTTTTTCCTCTTGCTGTAGTTTATTTTTGCACTGCTGGCTTGGAACAAACCGTGGTGTGCTCTGCAGTCTGTGGCCAGGAGGAGGTGCTGCTGTGCGCTCTCCTGTCCTCATTGTTCATGTGCTGGTTTCTAAGATCTGCAATAATTTACTGCATCAGGTTCATGTTTTTACCTGAACATAAATAAAGTAATTGTTTGACTCAGTCTGTGCTGGTGTTGGTTAAAGTCTAAAATGAACATAGTCAAGGGTCAAAAGCAAATGAGTAGTTGCCTTTAGTCAGTGAAGTGTATGATACTGAATGAGCAGTATATGAGTTAAAGATGAAATAATTTAGCTAGTTACAGATATGACAGAAATGCAATTCATTTGCTGTATTTGAGCTATGAATATTGGTTTGTGTGCTTATTTGGGGAGGGTGTGCATTTGAAATGCCAACAAAAGCATCAGGCAGTAACTGATATGTGACCCTGGACCACAAAACCAGTCATAAGGGTCAATTTTTCGAAATTGAGATTTATGCAACATATGAAAGCTGAATAAATAAGCTTTCCATTGATGTATGGTTTGTTAGGATAGGACCATATTTGGACAAGATACAGCAATTTGAAAATCTGTGATGTAAGGGTGCAAAAAAATCAAAATATTGAGAAAATCACCTTTAAAGTTGTCCAAATGAAGTTCTTAGCAATGCATATTACTAATCAAAAATTAAGTTTTGATATTTACAGTAGGAAATTTACCAAATATCTTCAAGGAACATGATCTTTACTTAATATCGTAATGATGTTTGGCATAAAAGAAAAATCTATAATTTTGACCCATACAATGTATTTTTGGCTATTGCTACAAATATACCCCAGCGACTTAAGACTGATTTTGTGGTCCAGGGTCACATATATGTGGTTGAAAACCTTCTCACTATGAAAATAGCCACAGAAGCTGGCATGGCATTAAAAAAACAATCAAACCTTTGTTTTGGGCTGTGTTCAGATTTGAATACTAGCTTATTGCACAGTGTATAGACAGTATACTTCCTACTGTTTAAAAATAGTATTGCTGTTGGAAACAATAAATATTTTTAAAA